CTGTTTTTTGGACTCGGCTAATGAGAGAGGTAATGTTTTATACTTCCTGCTAAATATTTTTTCATGAATTAATTTACCTGATTTTTTAAGATTTTTTTTCCTATATAGAAACATATAGTGAAAACAATTACCGGTGTGATACCTTGAAGGTGATTGTGTAAAATCATCTGCATCAATATAAAAGGCTGTTTTAATTTTTAAAAGGCATATTTCAACAAAATATGTCATTTTATGAACTTTCTGTGTGAAAGCACATATTTTAAAAATTAGAAGTAGAGTTGAATTGAATTTTTAGAGATTTCTGTGAAAAATACTTATAATATATCATGTTTTACCCTCAAAACTTTAAATTATGACTTTCAAAGTAGGATTATGCATCTGACATGTAGAAAGAAGTTAGAAAATGTTGTTTTTTTATTTTAGATGACTTTAAACTATGTGCACCACCTGACCGCAGTCAATTATAGTGTCTACAGACTTTGCCGTAAAAGTACTTTAGGCTGATTTTTTCAAGAAAAGACTAATTCTGGGATTGCGAATGAGTTTTCAACAAAAGTGACAACTGCGATAAAATGTGAAGAAGTAAAACATTTTTTCACAGAGTGATAAATTTTACAGAGAGTGGATTTACTTTCATTTTATTCACCTGAAGTAATGCATGTATTACTGCAGTGGAGGAATATAAATAATGAAATGAGGTAAATTTGTCTAATAAAAATAATGCACAAGTAAAATTTATTTAGAATTTTTCAAAAATAAGAAGCTTATGACCAAAAAATGCATAAATACTGTCAGGGCATGAGAGTGAATACTTATTCAGAGTTCTAATCATGTAGCACACATGTAGTACAGAATGTCACTTAGCACCATGGTATGCCTGTTATGGTTCTCTGGACTTTTTGCATGCTTACGCAGCTGACATCCATGATTTTTCAGTTTGTCGGAGAATGTGTTTTGTCATGTTAGCACTTTTATGTAGGTTTTGACTCTCTCTTTTAAATTAAGTCTCAGTCAGGATGCTTATTTCAGCATGATTTGTTAAGCATATTAATATACTGAAATATTAATAAATTACAAATTAAAGTGATGAAGAAATTTGATACATTTACACAATCAAAATATCAGAATAACCATAATTCAGCTAATAAAGTGCCCTGTTTTTCTTATGTCACTTCCTATAAATTTTATCAGCAGTTTTTGTACACCCACCCACCCCCAAGAACCATGTAGGATGGCCTGATATTAGTCTTTTTGTTGCATTTTTTCACATTTGAAAGTGTTAAAACTCATAAAAATGTTTAAGATTTATATTTTGAAATTTAAATGTTGAATTTTTATGTAAATTTGGTGAAACCAAAAGCTGTAATCTTGAATTAATCATGCAAATTCATCAAACACCTTTGGAATTCCTGAGTAATTCAATGAAAAGAGGATAATTATGCATGTTCAATTGGAATTTCATGGCTAATTTGTGTCTGCAGAGAAAGCCAGTTACATAAATCCAAACAATAAATTACATCTGAATTGTTTCCTCCATTTTCTTATCATCAAAGCAAGTTTAATGGAGTGTCAGAGCTGTCCAGATTCTCCCTAGGTGCTGATATCATTTGGACTGCCCTGTGTTACAACACAGCTTTTAGATAAACTTCTGCACATCAGCTTGTAGACAAGTACCTAGGCTTTATTTGGAACATAAATTGACCAGATGCAGATTTTATTATCAGTCTAATATTTAACAATTTCTGTGAATTCTGTCATTCTTAGGAGGGCAAAATGCAATTTTGTTATGTAATAATTGCATAATGGTCTCAGACTTGTGAACTATTTTTTGTTTGTTGTGAAGAACAATGTATATACTCTCCACGGATAAGAAATTGTTTGCCAGACTTAGTCTATTAATGATGAAATTCTGCTTCAAAATATGCACACAAAAACTTCTGTCAGAGTGCTCTGTATGTATTCTTGACTGCTCTGGAGTAAGGGAGATAAATGCATATATCTCCAGCAATAAGGGGAATTAGATCACCAAACTTAAGGATGTTGGTGGCAGTTATTTAAGAAATCTCAGGTGCAAAAATGAAAAAAATCTGACAACTTCAAGGGTCCTTCAAGGTATCACACTGGTAATTGACCAATCAAAATGAACTTAGTCAATTGTAGTTCCATACATATAAAATTAATTTTTCTTTCTTTTGATAATTTTTTTAATTTTCTTCCAGGCTATTTTTACAACTTTGGTACCTGTGCCTATTAAATTTAATGTACTTTGTAAATAAATAAAGTTTTTTGACAGGAACTATTTTTTTCAGGGCATAGGAGGCTACTTCCTGGGGTGCACTGGAGCTGTTTATAAACACATTGAAAACACGTGGATTTGAGGGTAGCCCTGTTTGCAGATGGAAAAAATCAGAAAATGCCGTGTAGGTACCCTGTTTTTTGGACTCGGCTAATGAGAGAGGTAATGTTTTATACTTCCTGCTAAATATTTTTTCATGAATTAATTTACCTGATTTTTTAAGATTTTTTTTCCTATATAGAAACATATAGTGAAAACAATTACCGGTGTGATACCTTGAAGGTGATTGTGTAAAATCATCTGCATCAATATAAAAGGCTGTTTTAATTTTTAAAAGGCATATTTCAACAAAATATGTCATTTTATGAACTTTCTGTGTGAAAGCACATATTTTAAAAATTAGAAGTAGAGTTGAATTGAATTTTTAGAGATTTCTGTGAAAAATACTTATAATATATCATGTTTTACCCTCAAAACTTTAAATTATGACTTTCAAAGTAGGATTATGCATCTGACATGTAGAAAGAAGTTAGAAAATGTTGTTTTTTTATTTTAGATGACTTTAAACTATGTGCACCACCTGACCGCAGTCAATTATAGTGTCTACAGACTTTGCCGTAAAAGTACTTTAGGCTGATTTTTTCAAGAAAAGACTAATTCTGGGATTGCGAATGAGTTTTCAACAAAAGTGACAACTGCGATAAAATGTGAAGAAGTAAAACATTTTTTCACAGAGTGATAAATTTTACAGAGAGTGGATTTACTTTCATTTTATTCACCTGAAGTAATGCATGTATTACTGCAGTGGAGGAATATAAATAATGAAATGAGGTAAATTTGTCTAATAAAAATAATGCACAAGTAAAATTTATTTAGAATTTTTCAAAAATAAGAAGCTTATGACCAAAAAATGCATAAATACTGTCAGGGCATGAGAGTGAATACTTATTCAGAGTTCTAATCATGTAGCACACATGTAGTACAGAATGTCACTTAGCACCATGGTATGCCTGTTATGGTTCTCTGGACTTTTTGCATGCTTACGCAGCTGACATCCATGATTTTTCAGTTTGTCGGAGAATGTGTTTTGTCATGTTAGCACTTTTATGTAGGTTTTGACTCTCTCTTTTAAATTAAGTCTCAGTCAGGATGCTTATTTCAGCATGATTTGTTAAGCATATTAATATACTGAAATATTAATAAATTACAAATTAAAGTGATGAAGAAATTTGATACATTTACACAATCAAAATATCAGAATAACCATAATTCAGCTAATAAAGTGCCCTGTTTTTCTTATGTCACTTCCTATAAATTTTATCAGCAGTTTTTGTACACCCACCCACCCCCAAGAACCATGTAGGATGGCCTGATATTAGTCTTTTTGTTGCATTTTTTCACATTTGAAAGTGTTAAAACTCATAAAAATGTTTAAGATTTATATTTTGAAATTTAAATGTTGAATTTTTATGTAAATTTGGTGAAACCAAAAGCTGTAATCTTGAATTAATCATGCAAATTCATCAAACACCTTTGGAATTCCTGAGTAATTCAATGAAAAGAGGATAATTATGCATGTTCAATTGGAATTTCATGGCTAATTTGTGTCTGCAGAGAAAGCCAGTTACATAAATCCAAACAATAAATTACATCTGAATTGTTTCCTCCATTTTCTTATCATCAAAGCAAGTTTAATGGAGTGTCAGAGCTGTCCAGATTCTCCCTAGGTGCTGATATCATTTGGACTGCCCTGTGTTACAACACAGCTTTTAGATAAACTTCTGCACATCAGCTTGTAGACAAGTACCTAGGCTTTATTTGGAACATAAATTGACCAGATGCAGATTTTATTATCAGTCTAATATTTAACAATTTCTGTGAATTCTGTCATTCTTAGGAGGGCAAAATGCAATTTTGTTATGTAATAATTGCATAATGGTCTCAGACTTGTGAACTATTTTTTGTTTGTTGTGAAGAACAATGTATATACTCTCCACGGATAAGAAATTGTTTGCCAGACTTAGTCTATTAATGATGAAATTCTGCTTCAAAATATGCACACAAAAACTTCTGTCAGAGTGCTCTGTATGTATTCTTGACTGCTCTGGAGTAAGGGAGATAAATGCATATATCTCCAGCAATAAGGGGAATTAGATCACCAAACTTAAGGATGTTGGTGGCAGTTATTTAAGAAATCTCAGGTGCAAAAATGAAAAAAATCTGACAACTTCAAGGGTCCTTCAAGGTATCACACTGGTAATTGACCAATCAAAATGAACTTAGTCAATTGTAGTTCCATACATATAAAATTAATTTTTCTTTCTTTTGATAATTTTTTTAATTTTCTTCCAGGCTATTTTTACAACTTTGGTACCTGTGCCTATTAAATTTAATGTACTTTGTAAATAAATAAAGTTTTTTGACAGGAACTATTTTTTTCAGGGCATAGGAGGCTACTTCCTGGGGTGCACTGGAGCTGTTTATAAACACATTGAAAACACGTGGATTTGAGGGTAGCCCTGTTTGCAGATGGAAAAAATCAGAAAATGCCGTGTAGGTACCCTGTTTTTTGGACTCGGCTAATGAGAGAGGTAATGTTTTATACTTCCTGCTAAATATTTTTTCATGAATTAATTTACCTGATTTTTTAAGATTTTTTTTCCTATATAGAAACATATAGTGAAAACAATTACCGGTGTGATACCTTTAGAATAATCCTATTTGAATGGTCTTTGTTTCATTTGCACAAAGAAGACCATTTAGAAGTTGAGCGATGTTTAAGTGCCTGCAACTTGAAGTTGAATTACGACTCTCTAGAGACTTTGCCACCAAACACTACTACCCCGATTGAAAAGTTTGCCAGTGGATGGGAACCAAGTTCTCAACAGTTGAGGGTCATCCAGACGGAACCTTTGCTAAAAAGGTAAAAAGTTATTGAATTTTTTTATGGATTTCACACATGAATTTTATAATATTTTCTTTGATACCTCGAACAAAGAAAAAATTATAATATTTATTTCTTACAGGTCCAGCACAATACCCTGATAAAGGTACATAGCTTGATAAAGCTATATAGCTTTATCAAGGTATTACAAATACCTTGATCAAGGTATTTTATGTAATGAAAATACAAAAAAAATCCTTAGAAAATAAATACTGAAAGTCGAGTTCTGAGTTGTTGTCAGTAAATCCACTCATGCATGTAAAGTACTCAAACACAAAGAAATCAGTATAAAAGCATGTCGTGTGAGGAGACGTTCTTTTATGCTGTCTTTTTGATACCTGAGTACTTTTCATGCACGAGTGAACACACTGACCACAACTCATAATTCGACTTTTGAATTTTATTTTTTAAGATTTTTTTTTTTTATATTTTCATTACATCACATGGAATACCTTGATCAAGGTATTTGTAATACCTTGATAAAGCTATATAGCTTTATCAAGCTAAATACCTTTATCAGGGTATTGTGCTGGACCTGTCTTATACACTGTTGTAATCAATTAATACTTATCTTTCAATGATGAGATTCTGAAGTAACTGTGTGCTCACAAGTCATTTGCTTCATAAACATGATAAAGCCCAAAAAACTTCAAGTACTTTGACAGGGTTGCAAATAACCAGTCGCCAAATACTGCCTGTGGGCAACCAACTCTTGAGGATGTAATCGCTCACATGATGAGTAAAACTTTTATAGGAACTTAAATTCTCCAGAACCAGATGATGTGTGTTCCCGTTTTGCACACATTTGATAAAAAGGTATAGAACAATAGGTGTAAAAATGTTAATTATAGTCTGATCTCCATCTAGGAATTACCTCGAATTACCTGTATTATAATAAAATATTCAAAAGCTTACATTTTGAAAATTTTACTTGTCAAACCAAGCTGAAGATGAAGTTGATATAAATTTAGATGAATATCCTTATCGCACTTCACCCTATTTTTTATTTCATAAAGATAAAATAGTTTTATTTTTTTTAAATTATGAAATTCGAGAAATAAATCAAAATATCAAATGCAAAGATACACATTTTTTTCTTCCTTTTCTTTCCGTAGACGGACCCATGGTTCAAGTTAAATAAACTGTCTTGTTACTGGACTCAGGTTTTTTATTCAACTGTAGCTACATGTACCTAGTGAAATTTTTATTCTGTAAATTAAAAATGTTCTTAGCTGATATGTTAAGCATTTTTGTATGTATTTTGTATGAAGATTTATTCAGCCAAGAAAAATCATATTCCCCGAGGGCTTCGCCCGAGGGGAATATGATATTTCTTGGCTGAATAAATCTTCATGTTTCCCAAACATTCATGCAATTAATTGTTTTTTATACCGAAACAAGCAAAAACTTTAAAAAATAAACATAAATTTTCAAATTCACCATGCTCTCAAATTCACTTTCAATTTTAACGTAAAGTTACTGAAAAAACTTCAATGTGTTTATTTCATTTCAAGTTCAAAAGAATAACAACACTACCAACCAATTGGCAGGATAATTATTGAAGCAGAAAATCAAAATATGCATTTACATTCATTTTTTTTTTAATCAGGACATTAGTAAGGATATGTTTTAAAGAAATGTAATAGGTATGAATCTAACTGTCACATGTCCAAGAAATATCATAGTTTGGAGGTATGGATTTTTTTTTTTACTTGGATTGTGTTAATATTTGTGTTTAATTATTAGGTAAACAACAAATTAAAATACTTTTCTAGGGGGAAGGGAAGGGGGGATCACTTGGAAAATAATTGTAGAGGGCATGAAACTAACTTTCATACTTTTTTGTTTCTTAGCCCAATATATTCTCATATACATGTATCATTCAGTTTTTTTTTTTTTTTTTTTTGGACAATGTAAGTTGACTGTTGGCTTTATTAAAATCTCGATCAGCAGTCTTGTTTTAACTATTTTATTCATCAACTACATTTTTTTTTTTACTTTCGGTTCTAAAAATACGATACTGATATAAATTATTTAATAATTTACAAGTTAATCTTTGACATTAGGCGAATTCTTGCGTAATCATTCAATACATTCAAATTATGTTTTCACACGTTGTCTCCTATACCCTAACAGCCCGAGGCATGTTACTAGGCAAGGTGGCTGTGTGCGTTCAAGCGAGAAGTGATTTCTTGTCCTGGGTTCACACCTTTGTATGCATTAAATATCAGCATGCACTGAATAAACAGAGCAGCTTGTCAATCTTGCCGATGTTGGGCATATTTATTTAATTTTGGTGAGGAAAAAGGGCATGGCGCTGGAAAAAAGGAATGGCGCCGAGGAAAAAAGGGCATGGCGCTGCGCCATGCTAGTTTGCTTCAAATTAAACACTACATCATGGTCAGCACGCTTGCAGATCTCGCCATGTTACATGGTCAGTGTTTATCATGCGCTTATTTACAGGTCTGACAAGTGTTGTATTCAAACGTGTACGAGACTCATTTGCTAAATCGTAAAATTTTGTGGGACGTCTTCAACATTTCCGGAAAATAACCACAAAACGGAAAAAAAAACTTTCAGGGTCGGGGGTAAAATGTAGGGTCGGTCGGGCGACCGGAAACAAGAGTATATTTTTTTTTTTGCCCTATCGTGACGTCTACTACTCTCGGGAGTTTTCATTCAACGAACAATAACTATTGCGGGAAAATGCACTAGGTCTCCGAAGAGGTTGAATATGATGAAAAGCATGACAACGACAGGGAAATATGAAGTTTTATGGCCTTGTCACGTGATAATGTAGAACCAATCAGATAACGTGTTGTATGGAATTATAATAATGAGGTATAATAATAAGTGTTATGTCATGTTTAACATGTTCCAGTTTGTGGTAGAATCTCTTTCATAAATATGATATAGACTATAGCAATTAACATAATTAAGTAATTATCTTACCAGCACCTGGACAGTTCCCATTTTGCACACATTTTTTTTATTACCTGAAATTCAATTGTGTGTGCAAAACGGGGACAAAGCAGGTTACAGTTTGATTACAATATGAAATCCATTTTGTTTGCATTGTTTCCTACCTACAAAACATTTTTTAGACCCAGAATTGTGCCAACTATAGTGATGGGAATCGCTAAGAATTTCCTAATCAATGATCGGGCTACTGTAACTAACTAAAAGTCTGTCAATTTAGTTTATTAATGGTAAGAATGGGTGAATAACTCTTTCTGTGTGGCCCAGCTGTAGTTAAAATAATCTAACTGTGCCTTGGGACAAGCCCTAGTCCGTATGAAAATATCATTTAAATGATGGAACGTTCTACGTAGTCCAGCTGGTTCTTCGTTTTTTTTGTAGAATCCAAAGTACGTCCATACCTGGGAATAAGCGTCGCGCTGTTACCCGGGTATGTATTCTGCGCCATCACGATAGACAAATAAGTTAAAAGACAAGTTGCGACTGGGATATTGGGCTTAAGGATACACCAAAGGCTTTTTTCAAGATTTTCAACAATTTTGAGATTTTTGGCCAAGAAAAAGAAGTTAATCACTGCTTTATAATGCATGTAAAATTCTTGGTAATTATGAAATGGTTTTCTAATTATTTAACAATAATGAAACATAAACACTACCACATGTGAATGTTCCGTTATTGAAGCTTCTGATTTGATCTGTGACTGCCTGCTCATGAAAGAGGCAATAAATCACTGTGACTACTTGGGGAATTCTTCACTAGCCACACAGAGGTTATCAGTAATTAAACTACAGGGACTCTAGATTTAGAGAAAGAGATCTAACAGATCACTGATGACCATAAAATAGGAGGTGGAGCTTAGCTCTTGCCATTTTGCCGGGAAATCTTTCTGATTCAGAATTGAACCTATTTTACTTAATCAAAAGCATCTAAATACAGAAAAGAACCTCCCATTCTTGTGAATATGCATAGGAAATATGGCTAAGTGACAGGTATCCAAAGCTGAATCTCCAAGGTGTCTTATATTCCTAGCTTTGGCAGATTTTGTTGTGTAATGGGTTTTTGCCCTCTACTGTAAAGTAAGATCAGACAGTTTGTGGTATTATTTCAAAGGATTCAGCTCCCTTATTTATTGACCAATTTCTCTGAAAATTGGATGGTTTGCTTCTCAAATGTGTGTTCACAAAACCGTATCTCAGATTTTTGATATCTAGCATAGTTTTGGAATTATTGAGGGAAATGTCAAATTAGGCCAAGAAATTGGTAACATTGAAGGGCAAATGGCTGTAACTTTTGAATTAGAAGATTTATCAAAAATCTGAGATACGGTTTTTAAGTTCAATCTTTAATCTACCTTGAGGTAAAATGACCACTTTGAGGGGTTAAATACAAAAAAGTTGATTTATAAAATATTTAAGCACTAAGAATTACATTAATATTTAAATAATTTTTGAATAAGTTATTAATTTAAGTTTAAATTAGGATAATTAAATAGTAAATTTAACAAGCTTTCAAATGATATATACTTTTATCATGTTATCTTTAATAATGAAAGAATTACATGCAAATTAAATTCTGGCATTTGGAAACCTTTGGTGTATCCTTAAAAACTATTAAGCTTTTTAAATAAAAAAAAAATAACTCGATTAATCGGAATAAAAATTTTGTAATCGAGCACTTGAATTATGCCAGCAATCGACTGCTTTTCGATTTTAATCGATGATTGGAACACCACTAGTCAACAATACTTTTCCTTAAAAGTATGAATTCGAAATTCTTTTAAGTTTTAATTTTTGTTTTCTGTATGAACTTCAAGTTACTTTGTGTCATTCCCCTGTACACCACGTGCACCAAATGTTTTTGCTCATGCACAAAGACAAAATGTTTCTTGTTTTATTCTAAAGCTTGCTTGATTCAGAAAATAAAAACGTTCAAACTCTTGGGAAAAGTGGAAAAAATAGTTTACTTAATGGAAAACACTTGAACGAAACAATGTACCGGTAAATGACACCTCAAAGTGACAAGTAAAAATGGACTCATCACCAATCCTCCACTGGTGTCTGTACTATATCTTGTATTACATTGTGGAATCCCAAAATGCAATACATATTGGTGGGAAATACAAAACCCCCAAGATTTCAGACAAAATCAATAACCCAATGGGATATATAAAAGTAACTTAAATAAATTATTATTCTAAAAAAAATTTTATGTGTAAAATAACTTGCAGAGCAGAACATCAGGTATCACTTTACCCAGTGTCTGTCTCTCCGTCCCTCCGTCTCTCCGTCTGTCACACTTTGTATCTTGAGAACTGTAAGACGTATGTATTTGATATTTTGCATAGATATTGCTAGTTTCTATGGCTTTTATAAAATGCCATAGTTACTTACTTCTTACCTTTAAACTTGACCTTTGACCTACATTTCAAAATGGTATGCTTTGCAAATATACAGCTTATTTTTGACATTTAATAGGTAAGTCTTGCTATTTATCATGTTTATATTGTGCACTGTTTGTCATAAGATATTATTTAAAATTACCAGTGTGACACTCCACTTGACCTTAACCTTTGCAAAAATACTTCAAACAGTTAATTTATAGATTAACAAGAGGCCCAAGGGCCTTAACGGTCACCTGAGTGCAATACAACAATTTAGAGGATCCAAAAACTGATAAATGAAGCTTTGTTGCCCAAAAGCAAGAAAAATAGTATGATAAGCATCAACAAAATAATTGGTATAGAATCTATCTGTCCCCCATTTATCACTATTACCGTGCAGACTACTTAACAAAATGTCTATTTTTTAACCCCATATTATTACTTCTCACATTGGTCTCTCTTGGCCTTCAAAGAACATTTAAAAAGATAAGTTATTTTTGCCTCACTTTTATTCATCTATTATTTCCAAGTCTTCCTTATCATTAAAACTATAAAAGTACTTTTTAGCTCACCTCGACGAAGTCGAGATGAGCTTATGTTATACCGTCGGCGTCGGCGTTAGCGTCGGCGTCCCAGGTTAAAGTTTTAGGAGCAAGTCCCATTCCCAAGTAACTATAAGCCCTACCTGGACCAAACTTGCATGGATGATGCATCTAGGGATGGACACTACCAAACTTGCTTCGGATGCTGGATCTGACCTAGATTTTCCAGATGAGTGACCAGGTTAAAGTTTTAGGAGCAGGTCCATTCCTTAGTAACTATAGGCCCTACCTGGATCAAACTTGCATTGATGATGCATCTAGGGATGGACACTACCACACTTGCTTTGGATGCTGGATCTGACCTAGATTTTCCGGATGAGTGACCAGGTTAAAGTTTTATGAGCAGGTCCATTCCCAAGTAACTATAAGCCCTACCTTGACCAAACTTGCATGGATGACGCATCTAGGGATGGAAACTACCAAACTTGCTTCGGATGCTGGATCTGACCTAGATTTTCCAGATGAGTGACCAGGTTAAAGTTTTAGGAGCAGGTCCATTCCCAAGTAACTATAAGCCCTACCTTGACCAAACTTGCATGGATGATGCATCTAGGGATGGACACTACCACACTTGCTTCGGATGCTGGATCTGACCTAGATTTTCCAGATGAGTGACCAGGTTAAAGTTTTATGAGCAGGTCCATTCCCAAGTAACTTTAAGCCCTACCTGGACCAAACTTGCATGGATGATGCATCTAGGGATGGACACTACCAAACTTGCTTCGGATGCTGGATCTGACCTAGATTTTCCGGATGAGTGACCAGGTTAAAGTTTTAGGAGCAGGTCCATTCCTTAGTAACTATAAGCCCTACCTGGATCAAACTTGCATGGATGATGCATCTAGGGATGGACACTACCACACCTGTTTCGGATGCTGGATCTGACCTATATTTTCCAGATGAGTGACCAGGTTAAAGTTTTAGGAGCAGGTCCATTCCCAAGTAACTATAAGCCCTACCTTGATCAAACTTGCATGGATGATGCATCTAGGGATGGACATGGCCACACTTACTTCTGATGCTGGATCTGACCTATATTTTCCAGATGAGTGACCAGGTTAAAGTTTTAGGAGCAGGTCCATTCCCAAGTAACTATAAGCCCTACCTTGACCAAACTTGCATGGATGATGCATGTAGGGATGGAAACTACCAAACTTGCTTCGGATGCTGGATCTGACCTAGATTTTCCAGATGAGTGACCAGGTTAAAGTTTTAGGAGCAGGTCCATTCCCAAGTTACTATAAACCCTACCCGGACCAAACTTGCATGGATGATGCATCCAGGGATGGACACTACCACACTTGTTCAGATGCTGGATCTGATCTAGATTTTCCACATGTGAGACCAGGTTTAGATTTAGGAGTAGTCTCATTCCCAAGTAACTATAAGCCCTACCTGGACCAAACTTTCATGGATGATGCATCTAAGGATGTACACTAACCAACCTGCTTCGAATGCTGGATCTGACCTAGATTTTCCACATGAGTGAATTTTAGCCATATTTTAACCAAATTAGCATGGATGATGTATCTAGGGATGGACACTTCCAGACTTGCCTTGGATTCTGAATCTGATGTACATTTTCCAGAAGAGTGACCAGGATTATTTTTTTGGAGTAGCTATATAATATTATGGCCTGTTATGATTAAACTTGCATAGATGGTGCATCTAAGGATGAAAACTTCCAGACTTGCTTTGGATGTTGGAACTGACCAAAATTTTCTTGATTACTAAACAGGTCAAAAGTTTTTTGAGCAGGTCTATAATTAAATCAAACTTGCATGGATATTGATCTTGGGATGTACCCTAACTAGAAAAAAAATATGATGTGAAATTTGCCTTACATGTAGATAACATTCGTCGAGGTGAGCTTCGTAATCTTTGATTACCTATGTTTGTATTATACAATAAATATTCTTGCATAATTCTCTTATTCTATTAACCTTTCAAATACATTATTTACAGTCATTAATTATCAAAGGTGAATGGCAAAGGGGAATAACTTTGCTCAGCAGAATACAAGTTCATAGAGCCCTGGCCAGGACCAGAACACTTGACTAATCCAGGTGTTCAGAGTTCTGGTAAAAATACCCTTGCATATTAAAATTTTTACTCCGTTTGCCTCGAATATGCCCAGAAGCATAGAAGATTTTCAAAGAAATGCATTTTCACTATATTATCAAATAAATAAATAAAGCCCCCCCTACACCAGAACATCTTACCCAGGGGCCATGAACTCGCAATTCTGGAAGAAGCACCTTGCTAATCATAACTATACACTTATTTCTTTGCTTTATTACCAGTAGTAGAAAATATATATTGAAAGAAATTATGCATTTTCACTATATAATCAATAGAGCCCCCCCCCCCTTCACCATAGCCACTGACCCAGGGGCCATGAATTTCATAATTTTGGAAAAGGGATTCTTCCTCATCATAACCATGCGCTTCCTTTGTTTGAATAATACCCAGGAGCAGAGAAGAAGATTTTGAAAGAATTTATGCATTTTCCCTATATAATCAATAGAGCCCCATCCCAACACCAGAACCCTTCACCCAGGTGCCACGAAATTCACAATTTCTGAGGAGGCAACCATGCTCATCATAACTATGTACTTAATTTATTTAATATCCAGGAGAGAGAAGATTTTCAAAGAAATAATGCATTTTCACTATATATATATATCAATTGAGCCCCACCCTGACACCAGAACCCCTGACCCAGGGGCCATGAAATTCACAATTTTGGAAGAGGCAACCATGCTCATCATAACTATGCACTAAGTTAATTTATTTAATACCCAGGAGCAGAAAAGAAGATTTTCAAAGAATTAATGCATTTTCAGTATATAGTCAATAGAGCCCCACCATAAAACCAGAACCCCTGACCCTGGGGCCATGAATTTCACAAATTTTGGAAGAGGCGCTCTTGCTCATCATTACTATGTACTTAGTTACTTTATTTAATACCAAGGAGCAGAGAAGATTTTCAAAGAATTAATGCATTTTCACTATATAGTCAATAGAGCCCCGCCCTAACACCAGAACCCCTGACCCAGGGGCCATGAAATTCAGAATTTTGGAAGAGGCACTCTTGCTCATCATAACTATGTACTTAGTTACTTTATTTAATACCAAGGAGCAGAGAAGAAGATTTTCAAAGAATTGATGCATTTTCACTATATAATCAACAGAGCTCCACCCTAACACCAGATCCCCTGACCCTGGGACCATGAAATTCACAATTTTGGAAGAGGCACTCTTGCTCATCATAACTATCTATTAGTTACTTTATTTAATACCCAGGAGCAGAGAAGAAGGTTTTCAAAGAAATAATGCATTTTCACTATATGATCTATTATAGCCCCACCCTAGCACTAGAACCCCTTACCCTGGGACCATGAGTTTCACAATTTTGGTAGAGTGCTCAATGCTTCTTAAAATCATGCAAACAGTTTGACTGCTTGGTGTCCAGGAGTAAAGAAGAAGATTTTTAAAGATTGCATTATTTTTGGTGGTTTTAGCCCCACCTCTCAGGCCCCAGGTGGGCAGGGACCATGAAATTCATAAAGTTTGTCCCCCTCCACCTCTTGGATGCTATATGCCAAAATTGGTTGAAATTGGTTGAGAGGTTTCAGAGAAGAAGCTAAAAATGTTCAAATGTTAACACACGACGCACGCCAATGGACGAAAACAGATAGCAATAGGTCACCTGAGTAAACTCAGGTGACCTAAAAAAAGGCTAATTCTTCTATCTTGATTTATGAAAACAATTTCTATCTCTCTTTCAGGTTTTTATTCAAACTGGATGAATTCAACTTCTGCTTAGCTCAAATAATTTCAAAAAATAAGCCCAGCACATCAATATCAGAATGGAAATACCAATCCTTGTTTGAAAAGTTGCTGCAGTTATTTGGTATTTATACTTGGTAAGCTTAATTTTTAATATGATTGTATATATATTGATATATTTCATAAATTATATATAGTGTTAAATCACATATTTTTATGAGGTTCAGAAATTTTATGTTTTGAGGAAAAAAGGTCTGTTCTTGGGAATTTTATTTCATTGTTAACAAAGTGTTGAATTGTTATGAATTTGAAATTTTACATATTCTAGAGGACATGAATTTGTGAGTCTCTTCATACCATGAAAACAACAGAAATTAAACCCCCATGCATCTTCACAATGCCAAGGATTTGTGATATTGTTCCTCTTCTTTACCCTCAACAAAATTTGATCTTGTGATAACATGAGGTAATATTTAATTATAAACCAACCAGTGAGAATTTATCTTTCAAATCCGTCCTTTTCAAATGGCTCAAATCCAAGGCACATCTTTTGTGATTGATTACTAGTCACAAATCCCACAATATTGACACTCCATTTTAAAGAAAAGTCATACATGTATTTGGTTACAAAACTTATTCTACATTAAAAGCTGTTTTCTGATTGGTTCCAGTCCTAGATTGGGAACAAATGAAATAGTAGGTTATTAGCCAGACTTTTATATAGCGACTTTGTAAAGGGTTTGTGAAGAGGAACAATATCACATATGTGATGACCCCATGAAAAGATCTTTATTAAGTAATTCAGGGCCTAGGAAGGGGCCGCCATATGGCATACTGCCAAAAAATGGTGCAATGCAACAATGGTGCACTGCGCCTTGCAGCGCACCGCAAAATGCAACTACACATGATTTTTAGCTCACCTGAGCTGAAGGCTCACTTGATCTTTTCTGACAGAAATTTGTCGTTGTAAACTTTTCACAATTTCACCTTCTGCTCCAGAACTACTGGGCCAATTTCAACCAAACTTGGCACAGAGTTTCATTGGGTAAAGGGAATTCATGTTTGTTCAAATAAAGGGCCATGCCCTCTTCAAAGGGGAGATAATTACAAATAAGTGAAAAATTAATGGCATCTTTTAAAAATCTTCTTCTCAAGAACCACTTGGCCAGGAAAGATGAGACTCGTGTAATCATCTTCGGGTAGTGTAGATTCAAGTTTGTTCAAATCATGACCCTCGGGGGTAGGTTGGGGCCACAATGGATGATCAAAGTTTTACATAGAGATATATAGGAAAAATCTTTAAAAATCTTCTTTTTAAGAACAGCAAAGCCATGATTGATCATATTTATATGGAAGCATCCTCAGGTGGTGTAGATTAAGATTTATTCAAATCATAACCCCCGGGGGTAGGGTGGGGCCACAATGGACGTTCAAAGTTTTATGTAGGAATATATAGGAAAAATCTTTAAAAATCTTCTTCTCAAGAAACACTGGGCTAGGAAAGATGAAACTCATGTGGAATCATCCTCAAGTATTGAAGATTCAAGTTTGTTAAAAACATGACCCCCAGGGGTAGGATGAGGCCACAATGGACAATCAAAATTTTACATAGGAATATATAGGTAAAATCTTCTCAAGAACAGCAAAGCATGATTGGTTATTAACTATTCGGAAGTATCCTAAGGTAGTGTAGATTCATGTTTGATAAAAATCATGACCCCCTAGGGATAGGGTGGGGCCACAATTGATGATCAAAGTTATGCATAGGAATACATAGTAATTTTTTTTAAAAAATATTCTTCTCAAGAACAGCAAAGGTATGATTTGTCATATTTATATTGAAGCATCCTCAGATAGTGTAGATTCATATTTGTTCAAATCATGACCCCTGGGAGTAGGATGGAACCATAATAAAAGTTCAAACTTGTAGGGAAAAAGGTCACAGTTAGTTAAAGAAATATGTAAGCATCTTTAGTTAGTGTAGATTCAATTTTGTTCAGATCATACCAGCGAAGTCAGATGTAGTCTGTTATGTGTCACATTAAAAATCATAACCAATATTCAACATATTAACATCCAATGGCAAAGAAACAAACTTTTCCTCCCAGTGTCAAGTTGTTTTGGACGATTGAGCACAGCTTAACGAGAGTCATACACATGGAAAATACTACCTTACAATGAAATACCACATCAATGAAGTTTACTTAGACCAAAAAAAATAATAGTCTTGTTTCCTGCTACCAACCTGAAAAAAATAGGGTGGGTAGGTAGGAAAATTATTTTATTTTTTAATTTAATTTTATTTTTTTCCAATGGTATTTTTGGATATGAACTAATATAAAACCAAATTAAACACGTCATAGGTCAATATTATCTTTTGAAATTAAATTTAATGTCTTTTGATGCACAACTCAAGTGGTATTTTATGAAAGTCCATATTTAAAACATACAATTTCATGAAATACCACTTGAATATATATATATATATATATTTTTAGTTTTGGAACATGAAATTCCTAAATTTTTTAATTTTTTTTTTTCAAAACTAAAAAAAAACTTTAGGGTCGGGTGCAAAAAAATAGGGTCGGTCGGGTAGCAGGAAACAAGACTATCATTTTTTTAAGCCTTACCTTTGTCCCTCTACTTGGTAATTTTAAAAAACAATGTTGCGTTTCGTTTAAATATTTATAAATTTTCTAATACTTGCTGTGTTAGATGACAAATGTTAAGTTCTTAGAAGCAGAAAAATTACTTCTACTAGTCAATGTTATATGATTTCTCAATTCCTACGGAATTTTAAAAACATTTTTATGCCCCGCCATAAATATGGCTGGGGCATATAGAGTTTGTCATGTCCATCTTCCGTCCTTCTATCTTTCTGTCCTTCCGTCTCTCCTTCCATCATGTTTTGCATTTAGCTCAGCTCAAAGCTCAGTTTTGAAGAAAGTATTCAAGATATTTTTATCAAACTTCTTATGCTGGTACATATTGATGAGAGCTATCAACTGCTACAACACTTTTTGACCTTGACTTTTCCTTTGACCTTGATCTCAATTTTCTTAAATTAGTTTTTAGCTCAGTTTTAAAGAAACCATTCAGGATTGTTTTATCCAATTCATATGCTGATACATACTGAAGTAAGCTATTCAACTGCATCAACATTTTTTGACCTTGACCTTTCCTTTGACCTTGACCTCACTTTTCTTAAATTAGTGTTTAGCTCAGCTTTAACTAAACCATTCAAAATATCTTTTATGCCCCTGGAATGAAAGATCCTGGGGGTATATTGTTTTTGTCCTGTCTGTTTGTCTGTTTATCTGTTTGTCTGTCTGTCTGTTGTCAGCTTTAACCTTGCCCATAACTTTTGATTGGTTGGAGCTATGACTTTCATATTTCACATGTGTATTCCTTGTAACAAGACCTTTCCTTATGTACCATCATATTTGACCTTGACCTTGGAGTTTGACCCACAAAAAAAATTATGAGACTTTAACCTTGGCCATAACTTCTGAACAGTTGGTGCTAGGGCTTTCAAACTTCACATGTGTATTCTTTGTGGCAAGGCCTTCGTTGGGATACCAACAATTTTGACCTTTTGACCTTGACCTTGGAGTTTGACCTACTTTTGAAAAACTATAACCTTGGCCATAACTTTTGAATGGTTGGAGCTAGGGCTTTCATACTTCACATATGTAATCCTTGTGACAAGACCTTCCTTTGTATACCAACCACTTTGACCTTCACCTAGAAGTTTGACCTACTTTTAAAAACTTTAACCTTGGCCATAACTTTTGAATGATTGATTCTATGGCTTTCATACTTCACATATGAAATCCTTGTGACAAGACCTTCCTTTGGATACCAACACCTTTGACCTTGACCTTGACGTTTTACTTACTTTTAAAAAACTTTAACCTTCGCCATAACTTTTGAACAGTTGCAGCTAGGGCTTTCAAATTTCACAGGTATTTCTCGAGACAAGACCTTTCTTTGGGTACCAACATTTTTCATCTTATGGCCTGGATTTTGACTTGCATATGAGAAAATTTACTTTAACCTTTGCCATAAGCTGCCATACAGGGGCATCAGTGTTTCACAAACACATCTTGTATCAAACTTAATATGCTGATACCTTTTAGTGAGAGCTATTTGACTATATCAAAAACTTTTGACCTAGCTTACACTTTCTGTGACTTTTGACCTCACTTCTCTTTAATTTGCATTTTGCTTAGTTTTAAAGAAACCATTTTAGATATTTTTATGTAAGCTTATGCACTTATACATAATATGGTGAGAATTTATCATCTATATCCATTTTTAGCTCACCTCAACAAAGTTGGGGGAGCTTATGTAATAGCCTCCGCGTCGGTGTCGACGTCCCAGGTTAAAGTTTTGGGAGCAGTTTTCTTTTCAAGTACTTCTATGCCATATATTAATCAAAGATGCATGGGGGATGCTTCTAGTGTGTTTCATTGTACCAGTCAAGGTTTCAGATGCTGCAATTTCAGCTAAAGAATGACCAGGTTAATATTTTTGGAGCAGGTTAAAGTTTTTGGAGCAAGTTAAAGTTTATGGAGCAGGTCTCATTTCCAAGTACCTTTAAGTCCTATGTTGACCAAACTTGCATGGATGATACATCTAAGGATGCACACTACTGGACTTGCTTCGGATGCTGGATCTGACCTATATTTTCCGGATATGTGACCAGGTTAAAGTTTTTGGAGCAGATCTTATTTTTAAGTAACTATAAGCCCTATGTTGACCAAACTTGCATGGATGATACATCTAAGGATGCACACTACTGGTCTTGCTTTGGATGCTGGCTCTGACCTACATTTTCTGGATGAGTGACCAGGTTAAAGTTTTTGGAGCAGATCTCATTTCCAAGTAACTATGAGGCCTATCTGAACCAAACTTGCATGGATGATGCATCAAGGGACGAACACTCTCAAACTTGCTTCAGATGCTGGATTTGACTTACATTTTCTGGATGAGTGACTAGCTTAAAGTTTTTAGATAAGTCCATTCCCAAGTAACTGCATGCCCTATCAGACCCAAATTGCATAAATGTTGCATCTAGGGATGCACACTAGTAGATTATTAGTTTCGTGTGGTTTGCCTTAATTAGAGACAACAT